GAGTTGAGGGACTAAGTCGGGGGTCCGTACAATAGTTGAGGGACCAAAATGGAGGTTTAACCTTAATTTAATGTATATGATAAATAGCATTTCTTCAAATGATTACTTATATGGCATTCACGCTGCTACTCAATTTCAAGCATGTTAGTTTAATTCTTGTTCGTGCTTGTTTTACTGTTAATTAGGGTTAAATCTCTAATTTTACAGTAATTTAATTTTCAAATATGTTAGTAAATCGCATTTTAATTTAATTTGAGTACATCTTTTTCTTACAAATTTACTTTATATTGCATGCCATTTAGTTTAATTAGAATTTGTTAACTTTGATTCATAGTAATGTTAAGTCCTTGGAGTTGTCCAAAGCAAATTTCGTAACCCATTTTATAGGAAGGCATCCCTTCTTCTTGCAAATCATTTGTAAACACAGATTTTAATTTTAGACCAATGTTCTTCCCACCATCCATAAGGAGGTCGACCGTGAAGAAGCAGAGGATCGTTGGGAAAATTCTTCTTTTTAACTTTCAGCAAAGTAGGTGGCACGCCCGTATCCAGATTTTGCACGTGCAATGCCACTAGAGGATTTTTTAGTAAACAATCCATTTTTGGCCTGCCTAGTGGGACATCACTGTTGCTCACTTATAGTTTTCATATCTGTTGTTCCTTTATCCAAGAAAAGATGTAGTTATGCCACAAAAAAGAAACATTGGGAAGGCTACCCAAACTTTACAGATTGGGCTTGGTGAAAGCAGTCCAACACATTCAGAAGGAGAAAATGAGCCAATCATTCCACCACCATTATCACCAATACCTAAGGCACACTTTGTCAATCTAACCTTCAACAAGGATAGTGAATCATTAGATAATGTTGCTTAATATAGTGATTCCTTTATGAAAGCTGTGTTCGAACAGATTAGCATGATGAGGCAAACACAGTTGCAATCTGAGGAAAGAACTCAACAAAGAAGCCAAGATATTGCTAGACGATTGGATGAGTCTCTTCAAAATCTAGCCCAAAGTATAGTTGACATGACTGACATGCAACATTCTAATGAAGAAAGTGCAAGAGTTTAGCGAGAGCAAAATGCAAAAAATTGGAGAGCCTTTCAACTTGAAATAGAACAAATGCAATAAGCATTCTGACATGCTAGAATTAAAGCTCAACCACAAGTAGCAGATCTTCAAAGGCAAAACCAGAATATTCCAACTCCAACACTCAGGGGGCAAGTTAATTTGTCACAGCCATTTCCCCAGAATCTGGGAGCAACATGCGGACCAATGTAGCCAGAACCTGTTGAGGCTACACCATGTGCAACAAAATTGGGCAATCTTCAACAGCCTAGATATTTGCCACCTCAACGCCAACCAAATGGAGGACACCCACAACATAATGCACCTTCACTAAGGGAGCATTTCTAGCCTTATGCGCCACTCATGCAACAAAATCTTCAAGGTCTGCCAAGTCAATACATCAATCGTGATTAGATTATTGATCTGGTGCAGAAGGCTTATGGGTTCAGTTTTAAGGCTTTTAGTTAGATCAGCTTACAAAAAACCATATCCAAATTTTATAAACCAAGAGAAACCTTTTCCAAGTAGAATCAAGGTCCTAGAATCCACCTTATTTTCTGGAGATGGTGGACATTCTACAATTGAACATATATGCTGTTTCACAACTCAATGTGGCGAGGCTTCCGGTGATGATAATCTAAAGCTCAGATTTTTTCTCAACTCTTTAATTGATACAGCTCTCACCTGGTATCTAAGTCTACCATAGATATCAGTTTATACTTGGAGGCAGATGAAAGATTTGTTCCATATCTAGTTTTACCGTAATGAACCAGAAGTGTCCATAGTAGATTTATCTTGTTTGGTGCAATGACCTGGTGAAACATATAAGGCCTTCCTTGCCAGATTTCGGAAGGTTAGACTTAAGTGCAGAGTTGCCTTATCGAAACAAGAGTTTGTTAAGCTGGCACAAAATGGTCTAGACATTGAGCTATGGAAAAAGTTTAAGGGAATGAAGTTTCATGATTTCTTTGAGTGGTCTTACAAGGTGGCTCATTATGAAAATTTATTATGAAGGGACACAAAGGAAATCTATATCTCATGAGACTTACAATGGTGACGCTAACTTTGATCTAGATGTGGCAGAAGTGGTGACATACAAGCTAGTTGTTTGCCCAAATCTAATTAAAGTGTCTCAATAGACTGACAAGACAGTAAAGGTTTATATCGGCAAGGTTGGAAAGCAATATACTTTTGACATTTCAAAGACTAGTGAAATTTTTTACCACCTTAAAAAGAGTAGTCTAATTAAATTGCCACTAGCGCATAAAATCCCAACAACTGGCGAAATTGGATGTAAAGAATATTGCAAATATCATAATTCTTGGAAACATTCTACTAATGATTATGTTATTTTTTGGAATGTTTTTCAAGACAAAATTGACAAGGGAATTTTGTGTTTTCCAAGTAAGGCCAAAGAAACTATGGGAGTTGATGTAGATCCTTTTCTTAGCATGTCTATTAGGTTGAACGCAGTAGATCTCAAGAAGGGTGAATGCAGTAGATCTCAAGAGCATTGCCAGAGATAGAAATCAGCCATATACCAAGTGCAAACTTGCAGCTGATGATTTCAGGTGGGTTATTGAGGAGGCGAGGGCCCATAGAAATCAGATCAAATAAGACTCATCCCAAAGGAGAAGGCACGGGGGGCACAACCCAACTTAGTAGAAAAATAATGCAGATTAGGGAATTGTGATATCTGGACACATAGAAAAGCCCAAAATGGCGAAACTACGACCCAGATCTCCAAGCAAATGGTGGGAATGTGTGGTTCATCCAAAATTTCCTGAGGTTCAAAATCCAAGGACCTTAAAGAAGCGCATACAACGCAAAAGGGTAGTAGAGAGACATCGATAGTAGATCACAGGCTCAGGGGGCATGGCAAATCAGACTCAGCCACTCCCAACAAGAAGGAAATAAGTGTGGATTCATAAAAATAAATGAAGCACATCTAGTTAGACTTCTCTAGAAAAGAATGTACCACCTAGAAGTCTAACATCGCCTTGAGTTCTGACTATGGAATCAAATGAAGAAACTAGTTTGAAGGCGAAGTTTGATGTGTTAGATAAAGTAGAAAGTTCATCATATGTAATTCAATTTGGTGAGTTTTCTGTGAATCTATCTTATTT